GAGCAGAGAGCATTGGGAGGGGGGGGGCGCGCGCAGAGGTGGTGAAGAAAATGGAGAATGGAAAATGAAAATGTAAGTCTAACAGAACTTGGCTGGGAGGCAATACCTGGGAACCGGCCTAGGGGGAGGAGAGAGGGCAATGTCTGGACCCACCTGGTGCAGAGCTGAGTGGGCCCCGTCCAGAGCGAGGTTCCCCAAGAGTGGCACGTGTGGGGGCCTCTCCAGGGTCACTGCCGCCACCACCGCCACTCTCATCCAGTCCTATCTGCTCAGGGGCACCATTGGTCTTATCTATGCCTCGGCCCCCTCGGAGTGTCATTGACAGCTGCCGTTTGATCTTCTTCATCCGATCCATGGCGACCTGAGCAGGGGGCATGGATGGGAAATGAGTCCCACAGAAACACTTGCTTGACGACTTTGGGCCCCCCAAACCCATGACAACATTGTGGATACTGATATGAACTTGTATCGGTGCCCACCCAACCACCATAGACCCCTGGAACCGGTCAGGATTCCTGGAAACCCGGCATGGATAGGGATCCTTATTAGTGCTTGTCCACCCACAGCCAGACCCTGGGACCCTGCTCCTAAGAGGCCTACCTGAGTAGTCAGACTTGGGTGGCTGGCCGAGGGCAAGGGCCCACTTGCTGAATTGTTGGTCTCTAGAGGGCCAGCCTCACTGTGGGAGTAGAGGCCTCCACAACAGGCATTCTCGGGTGCAGCAGCAGTAATGGACCCAGCCACAGATGGGACAGGGAACTCGCCAAGAAACACAAGACCTCGGGCACGACCCCGGGCACGCCCACAGAATGGCATGTTCCGCTGGCACCAGCCCCAGATCACCCCCCAACTGCCAAGGCAGAAAGCTCTCTGTGGCCACAAGGACCATCCTGCTTTCCCCAACAACCATCGTCATGGTGAATAGTGGACCATACCACTGGACTACCCTTGTAAGGGGTGCTGGGGGAATAGGAGGTCCTGTCCAGACCCAACCACTAGGTGAAACTGTTGGGGGGGATCCTCCATGGACACCACCTGCCCTCAGGACTGCTGTCTGACTGGGCTGGGACTCATAGGATTCAACCCGGATTTTAAAAGCCAAGTCACATTTCTCCTCTACTTGAGAATGTACCACATCTCCTTTATTACCCCAAATAAAGGCCCTAGTTCTCAATGTGGCCCACAAAGTTTTACCCACTCCCCCCTGCTACCCCTCTGGCCTCACCTCACAATGATCATTCCTAATTGCTGTTCTATAACCACACCTAGCAGAATACCACCTCAGGGCCTTTACACTGATCATTCCGAATCTCTGCAACACCTTTCTCCCAGATTTTGAAATAGCTCACTCCCCACACACCTTCAGGCCAATTGTTTGAATGTCAGCTCTTCCATGTAGTCTCCATGAATGAACCCTATTTAAAATCTTAACCATCCTGAACTCTTTCACTTTGCTGATTATCTCATCTCCCCCAGCACACATCACCTCCTTGGAAAGGACAATCTACTTACTGGTTGCTTTTCTTTTTAAAAATTTGCTATAGGGCGCATGCACTTGCTGGAGAGAGACAGAGAGAAAGGTGAAGTGAGAAAGCACCCTCACTGGGGATGGCCATGCCTCAATCCCTTCTCTATTCTCCTCTCAGGATTTTGGGCATGCACACACATATACTCAGTGTGTTTTCCAAGCTGCAGTGTCTGGGATTTGAACCACTCAGCTGGCCATGTGGAATCCAGCCAAGTCTCACCTCACAATGATCATTCCTAATTGCTGTTCTATAACCACACCTAGCAGAATACCACCTCAGGGCCTTTACACTGATCATTCCGAATCTCTGCAACACCTTTCTCCCAGATTTTGAAATAGCTCACTCCCCACACACCTTCAGGCCAATTGTTTGAATGTCAGCTCTTCCATGTAGTCTCCATGAATGAACCCTATTTAAAATCTTAACCATCCTGAACTCTTTCACTTTGCTGATTATCTCATCTCCCCCAGCACACATCACCTCCTTGGAAAGGACAATCTACTTACTGGTTGCTTTTCTTTTTAAAAATTTGCTATAGGGCGCATGCACTTGCTGGAGAGAGACAGAGAGAAAGGTGAAGTGAGAAAGCACCCTCACTGGGGATGGCCATGCCTCAATCCCTTCTCTATTCTCCTCTCAGGATTTTGGGCATGCACACACATATACTCAGTGTGTTTTCCAAGCTGCAGTGTCTGGGATTTGAACCACTCAGCTGGCCATGTGGAATCCAGCCACGTCAACCACCATGCCACCAGCTGGCCCTAGTCAGTTCTGCCAGGATGCATTTCTGTTTGTTTAGGTCGTGGCTATGTCCTGAGGACCTGGAATGGTGACTGACACAGAATAGATGCTCAATATATGCTTATGGCAGAAATGAATGAATCAGAGGCGGAAGGTCAAGGATCAAGCTCTGCTAAACCCCTACTACTCATGAACAGCTCCAAACAAGGTGGCCTGAGGAAATTGGTATCTACAAGATGACCTAGATGGGCTCCTGGAGGGAATGGGGCCACCAAAAGGCTTAGGCTGGCCTTCTTCTGCTTCCTCCTGGGCTCTGGGCCAGCAAGGAGAGGGAAAGACCTGGCCCAGGAACCATATGGTCTCACAGCAGGGCCCAAGATGGCCCCGGGCCCAAGGGAAGTAGTGCTAGATAGGAGGTCGAGGATGAGGCTGGGGCTGGATTTGAGGAGAGAAATGGGTCATCTGTTACCTTGAAATCTGGTGCTTACCCCAGCAAGTTCTTGTCCCCATTCCTGCCTGGCTGAACTCACCACCCCCAGGAGGGGTAGAGGGGCCAGTCCAGCAGAAAGATCTTTGAGAATGAGGTCCATCCACAGAGGACCCAGGAAAAAAACAAAAATTCTGACTCGCAAGGCTGAACACCAGATCTAAGGCTGAGGAAGGTGAAGCATGGCCAGCTCCCAAGCACTACCTCTGTCCCCAGATGGCCCAGATACCCAGTTGCTTTGTATGTTGTGACAACAAATGGGGTACTTTACTGAGGGGACAATAAGTGAGGCTGGATGGAAGATGGAGAGGCAGATGAGTCCATAACCTCTAAATGGAAACCTCAAGGGTTGGACAAGTTCTAGGGATTTTAGGAAGATGGGGTACAAAACTCTGTGTTAAAATGCAGTACTCCTCATTCCACCCTGACCCCTATTAGCACACAGGCCTCTGTGAACAGAGACACTTGAATAGTTACATGCAGCAAAACTTTTAAAATATAATTTCAGTTGTTTGACTTTTTAGATTTCAGGGTAAGTAAGGGAGAGGGCAAAAAATTAGATGTAACTCTACCCCCAAAAGAGCCCAAGTCTTTCTTGACTCAGGACTACTCTTGCACCCAAGGATACTTGCCACGTCATACTATGTGTACCACTGAGGACAGGTACCACACTACTACGCCCTTAGGCGTACACCACCCCATTCTGTCCTGACCCCCATTAGCACATGCTAGACCCTCAAAAGGCCTCTCTGCATCTTAACTCCCATCAGTACTCACAGATTCCCCATTCATCTCTAACCCCCATCAGCATTCAAAGCCCTAACATATTGCACACTGAACCCCTAGCGTACACTCAGCCCCCTTCTAAGTAACTCCTGCCACCACATTTTTGTCCCCCACTCTGCCCAGCTTTCTGTTAGCTTCTCCACAGCACTGATTACCCCACTAACATACTGTTTCCCCCACATAACCTTACCTGTATTAGAGTGCACTTGGGGCACTCTATAGCTGACCAGCATTAGCACTCACCAGACCTTCATACTGCCTGAATTCCATTAACACAAAGTGAACCTTGCAGATGCCTGACCAGTTCTGCCCTCACTCTGCCCCCTTCATATCTGTGACCATCGTTAACACACATTCTGGCCTTTCCACTATCCTGTCCCCTCCATCAGCACAAGCTGGACCTTCATTCCACCCTGACCCCTATTAGCACACACTGGGCCTCACGCATTCAGGCCTTTTCATTAGCACACCCTGAACCTTACTGGGCCCTATCCCCAAGGACATGAACACACTGTTCTTCTTTTTTTAAAATATTTGCTATAGGGCACATGCGCGCGCACGTGCATGCACGAGGGGGGGAGGGAGAGAGAGGGTGAGAGAGAGAGCGAGCTAGTGAGAGTAAGAGCACGCGCGCATGAGAGAGCGAGCAAGCACTCCGATGGGGGATGACCACACCACAATCCCTTCTTCATTCTCCTCTTGGGACTTTGTGTGCCCAGTGTGTTTTTCAAGCCACTGGGCCTGAAACTCAAACCTCACAGTCGGTCATGCAGGATCCAGCTGCCTCAACTACCATACCACTGGTTGGCCCCCACTCTGTTCTTTACTGCCTGACCCTCATTGGTGCACACAGGTCTTCATTCAGCTCTGACCCTCATTAGAATACACTTCAGTCCTTCATGGCTCTAGTCCACTTTAGCACACCAGACCATCACATACTCCTGTCCTTTTCTCTTTTCTTCAACCTCTCCACACTGTAACCCCAATTGGTTCGTACTTGGACCCCTTAGCAATGATCTCTCTTATTACACACTAGATCTCCTCCACAGCTCTACCTACCATGAGCACTCCCTGGAAGCTAAATACACTCTAGACCCCCACGGACACACACAGTCTTCACAATATTCTCATTAGCATATCCCAGACTTCATGCTGCTCTGACTCTTCCCCAGTGGTACAAACTGAAGTGCCTCGATGGCTCTAAATCCACACTAGCAGTCACTAGAACCGCACTGTTACCCTGCCACTTCTTAGCACCTCCTAGAGGCTCACATCCTGTCTTCATGGACACATACCACCCTGAGCCTTTGAGGGCACTAAACCTCTAAAAAGTGCAGAGATACTTTCCTCATACTCTCCCACCAGACATATGGACAATTCTGATATCCAAGAACACCAGCTTAGGTCTTGCACAGCCCTGCCCCCATTACATACCCTCAGGGCTCTCACCACTCTGTCCCCATTAGCATACAGTGGGCCTCACACTACCCAGGTCTTACTACCACAGGCACACACCCTCTACAGCCATGAACCCCGTTAGCGCATACTCCACACTGGAGTCCTTCAGTTACCTGCCCTCCATGTGCACACCCTGGCCTTCACACACAGAGCACCCTCATGGGCAAACACACAGTATTAACACCATCCTGACCTTTATTACCACATACACACATCTTCCGCATCTGTGATCCCCCCAACAGCTCATCACTTGACACCTGAGTCCTTCAACTAACTGCCCTCTATGAGCAAACCCTGGCCCTCACACATGCAGTCCCCATGGACAAACACACAGCGTTAACACCTCCTGGACCCCCATCACCACACATAGGTCTTAGAGTCTTGATTCTGTAAGTACACTATCTGCTGTGCCATCTATCCTCTCTACCATCCTATCCCCTACAACACAAACTGGGCCTCTCTACAGCCATCACCCCTATTACTGTGTCTTGGAAAAGTCCCCAGACACCCTACCGTCTAGCACACACTCTCAGGTCCCTGGCCCGCCCTACACTACCCTCCTTTCATTTGCACACACTGGGCCTCAAACCTTACACAGTCATAAGGTTTTTATTACCACATGCTCCGACCCCTGCACAGTTCGGGCCCCCATTAGCAAACCTCGGGTCTTCCACCACTCTGCCTCCCATTTCCACACCCTTTGGCCCTCTGATCACCCTGCTCTCCACCAGATAGACCCCGGAAGCACCCACAGCACCTCCCATCCTAGCTCCCAGGACGGGCCCAGGGCGGGGCCAAGGTCAGGGAGGCCCCAAATGACCCCCCGTCCCGGTGCACTCTGGGAAATTCGCTGGGGGGGAGGGAACACCTGCCACCTGGGTAGCCCAGACCCCCGGAAACGCCCGGGGCTGGGGTTGGTTCGGTAGGAGGAGGGGCAGCCCCCACCCCACATCACGGGGACGCGCTCACCGGCGGGGGGGGGCGGACGACCCCCGCGGCCCCGGGGGCGCGG